GAACATATCTTTCAAGGAAATTCTTATTCGTTCTTATTTTCGATAATTTAATTTTTGCGATTTATTGTTAATCACAATCTCTTTTTTGTCTTTATTTTTTATCTCACTATTTACATCAACAGTTTAATAAACTTTGCTTCCAATACTTTCATTTTATACATACTTAAATTTTATTTTGCTTCATTAACCAGACTTTGTTTCTAACTTATCTATTAAGCAAATTATTTTTATTTTATCTTCGATTACTTTAACGTATCTAGCTACGAAAACTTAATTATTTACTGGTACTCTATAAGCATAAATAATCAACATATCTAACTAATATTCCTAACTTAACTTTACCGTCCCATTTGATTGCACTTTTAACCTCTGGTTTACGAACCAATACCCTACTTCCATTAATTTTCAAGGGTCTTAGGTTAGGCTTGATATTAAAAAATACTTGATATTGTGATTTCTTTTAAATTGTATTTGTAACAGTTCGATTTTTTCAATAAGCTACTGTTTTTACTACTAAGGGCGAAAATTTTAAACTTGTATTTGCTTCTTTCATCAAACACTTATCCACATCTATTGCCAAACTGTCATATTTTTCTGTGGTACCATTAAGTTATTGGTAATTGCTCGATACCTTTGAATTTTATAAGGTTTAAAATATTTTTAATTATGTTCTTTTTTTTATTGTTGCATTGTACCCTTGTAATACTTTTGCTAAATTTATTTTCGACTAAATTAACGTCATCATTAAAGGATTCTTATTTTTCTGTTTTATTTTTTATATTATAGATTTTTGCACATTTGCTGTATTTATCTATAAATGTGAGAAAATGTTTGTTTTCATTATTACCACTCGTATTATGTGATCCTCTTGAATCAGTAGGGATAAGTTCTGTGGCTTTTTTTTACAGTTTTGAGATCATTTATTTATATTCCATTTTCTAATACGATTCAGGCATTTTATTTCAATATTTTCTTATTTGTCTGACACATTATCATCTGATCGAGAAGGGCTTAATGACAGACAATAATAAGCATGTTCATCACGTTTGCCAGTAAAGAAGCACGGTTTAAATATGTTGTTGTTACTTTACAAGTCCTAACTTTCTTTCTCGTTTTGGAATACAAAAGTTTAGTGCAAACGAATGACAGCGGAATAAAAGACTCTAAATTATCAGGAACTAGCAGCCCCCGTCTCAGCTTCGCCCGAGACTTACTAAATAAAACACCGTAGTGTGTTGACATGTAATGTGAGACGTTTTGAGTTAGAAATTTCACACAAATTCCTGATACATCTCAGAACAAAAATCTTCTTATTAAAAACATATTTTTTTGGAATCCATATAGTTTATTTAGTCGAATAATAAGGTGTAAGAATTCAAAAAAATAATTATGCTAAAAAGTACCGTGCGTTCTTCATGCCATAAAATAATCGGTGGCCATAAGAAACCGTTGATTTACAGTTTCTCCCGTGTAATTCACGAAAACGGCTATTTTTTAAGGCTGTTAAGATTTTAAACCCCCAAAAAATTTATTTAAAAAAAAAATTTTTTTCTCATATCTCACAACTTTGTTACAAGAGCAACAAAGTCCTGGACCTTAAACCCTACATTTTTCTGCTACAAAGACACTAATACATTTTCTAATTGTTTAAAAATCTAAAATAGAATCTTTAAAGATAACAGAGATTGCTGTGAGGGTACAAAAAAAAGCTGATCTCTTACGTAACGGACTCTTAATTTGTCGATTTTGACGCTGCTGTTGCAATCTCGATAAATTTTCTGCGTCAGTTTCTTGACGCCTAAGTGAAATTGTATTTATAAGATACGTTTGAAGTTTTTCTTCCAATTTACCCTCTTGCGACTTTTGGCATGCTTGAAATTTTTGTGACCCCTAAAGGCAGTTTTCTGTCAACTTTGTTAAGTTCTAATATATTTGTTGGCAAGGTAGTTCGACGTCCGATGGCCCTAAAGAGACCGGTGAGCTTCTTAAGTTAACTCTTTCTTGACAGCAGTTAACAGCAATTGTGGCTGCCTGGATATCTCAGGGTGATCTTCTCTGGCCTGCTGTTGAAAACCCAGACTGATCGGGAGAAAAATTACAAAGTCCGAAGCTTTGGGGCTAGTTGGAGTGCTTTTTCCCAATGTCTCCCGGTATAACGTCGAAAACGTTGGTGTCTAAAGTACCTTTTTTTTTTGGAGATTCAGAGTCAATAGGGTGATACATATAGGGTCATTGGTCACCGGGTTTTCCAGCCTTGCGAAGAACAACTCCGCAGGTGACGTCTGCCAGTGAATGGCTGACTTTATTTAATAGTGCCCGTCTTGAGTTAATATAGTCTTTTAGTCGACGAATTGCTTTTGGAAATGGTAGTAAAAATGTATTTGTTGGCAAGGTAGTTTAAACTTAGGTGGCCCCTAAAAAGAACCGATGAAATTGATGGTTAAGTAGGGAACGTAAATACTTATAATGGCCCTAAAAAGCGCCAGCTGTGAAACTTCCAGGCCACTCTTTGTTATTATTCCTGATAATGAAGAGCTGGCTACGGGTAGCTTGATTCTTACCCTAGGAGCCTCGATGTACGGAGACTGTGATGGAGAGAGGTACGCCACTGACCAAAGAATATCTCGTCTTTGGGTCGTTCCCTGGATAACCAACCGCTTATCGTTAGACGGGAACATGCGGGTAAGCGTGTTGGGGACGCGACGACTAAGAAGGTAGCCGTTGTGGCTTCCCGTGCCCCTCAGAGCTGTTTTTCCTGGCTTACATTTGTAGCCAAAAATTCTCTAACTGCACCAGGCGGGATGATGGGACTGCCACACAACTCTGAAGAGATGGTGCATATTGTGCTCTGGCTAGATATGTCTCCTGGTATTATGCCAGAGACGTCATCGGTTGACATAAATTTTTTTTTTTATCACACTCGTCGAGATTATGGGTAAATGGAAACCTAGGTCCCTTTCCCCTTACAGAAGAGTATCGTCCGTAACCGGGATATCCAGCTGGAAGACTATCATAAGCATTTTCTATGCAGTTTGTTGAACTGCCAAAGTTTAACTGAACTTAAATGAAAAGCTGGCGTATTTTTACAAAACTTTGAGCTCATTTATTGCTATTGTTATTAAATTTTTTAAGATAAAAACTATACTAAAACCGTCTAGGAAGTACCGTGAATAAGTGTGCAAAATTTCAGCAAAATCGGTTGAGTAGTTTTCCCGGTTAGCGATTACAACGGCTTTATCGACTTTGCTTAATATATTAGTAAGATTAGCTGTTTTTACTGAGAGGTCTATTGTAAAGCTCTATTTTGAACTTAGGAATCAGAGCCTAAGTGTTTGATGCTTTGTTACTTCAATTTCTAAACATCTAAGGTTAGAATTTTTTTTCTGTATTATTTTTCTCACTTTTTGCAATTTAAAAAAAAAAAAAATTAAATGTTCTTTGGATAGAATTTTTGGATTGTAAAAGCTTCAATTAAGTGTTATATGGATTACTCTTCTTATGTAAGAAAAAGGAATGAATTAGAGTTTTCTTTAAACTTCTTCGAAAATAGAAGAAAAAATTGTTCCATACACTCAACAGTAATGTTAATCTAAGATTTTTTTTGTCTGTTTCAACGTATAGTGTATTTTAAAAATTTTATGTCACTTAGCACTGTTGTTTTGGGATGCTGTATTCAGTAAAAAAGGTTTAGAATGGAGTTTAAATACTTTTAAAATTTAGTTGACCTAAGGGATAACAAAATTTTTGTTGTAAGCATTTTGTGAATAACCACATTTCTTAAAAAATTATTTGAAACTAGTACGTAGTAAGTTGCTCCTTATTTGTTTATGTATATTGTTGGTTAAAAAAAGCAATCAATATACAAATTAAAAAAATTTTTTGCAATAAATGTAAGACATTAATTTTTTCGTTTTTAACACGTTTTTGATCAAGAAACAAAGTAAAGAGACCAGAACTTACCTCCATTTATTAATGCTGACATTGGTGCTACCAGCGAACCATGGATCAAGCACGAAAATACACCTGAAAGTTGTTGCACCAGCCAGTCCATCTCTTAATGAAGGATTGTCATGGATCCTAAGTCCTTTTCTAAACCAATGGACTGTATGCTTCTTACCATCACCTTGAACAGCAATACCATCAGTCCATGTGTCTTTGGTTTTCGATATTGTAAAAAAATCATGATACTGCTGTTCCTGATGGTGTTGATGGTGATAATGGTTATAATGACTGTCACTAGTCTTACAACTTGGACTAGTGTTCATAATTTCTTGTTTTCAGTACTTGTACAGTTACTAGTTCCTTTGAGCCATAGACTTTTAAGATGAAACTTACAAAGACGTTTCACAAAATATACTACTGCTAAAATCAAATAAGTAAATAATTGTTGTTTTTATAAATTTCTGTATAATTGTTACGTTCTAAAAATAACTATAAATAAGAACTTGTATCTATGCCATAAATATATCTTAAATAAATATTTGTTTCAAGCTAATGAATTCAACTTTATGCACTTTCTTTGTTTGACAAATAATTACCCATGATATACGACTACTGAAATTAATTATCTAAGTAAGCAGTAATACCTTTTATAGAAAGTTACATAGTTTTTGCTACACTTAATTTTACATTACAATTGAAGATGAGAAATGAAGTGTTAAGATACTGAAAGAGTCTTTCTTTGCTTGAAACTAAGTATTCAGTTGAGTCAAATAAATACTTTTTCTGTATAATGACTGCTAGAAAACAATTTGAAATAAAAAATAATGTTTTTAAATACTAATTATATTTAACGGATCAAACTTATTAGTACTGTAAATTCATCAAATATCAAAGATTAATTGCATAAACAGCCACGAAAATTAAAAAGGTTTTTAAGAAACTTCATTGACATGCAAGCTACAGATAAACATTTTACATTAATATTTAGCTTGAAGCATCTGTTAACAGGACTACCTTATAAACTTTATACTTATTTTGCTCGACACATTTCTCATGTAGAACATTTTTTCTACCCACTTTATTTATATGCGTAGTGACAAAAAGTAAGCATAAGTTTTAAATTATATATTTAAAAAAAACCAACACTTAGTTAAGCAGAACATAATACCATCCGCCAATACTTCAGAATCACAAAATTTTTCAATATTGACAGTGGTTGTCATCTAGAAATGCTACAACACTTATCAGAGAAAACTAATCTAGTGTAGCCATCAAGGGCTTTTCGAATATTCTTAACAATAGGACCATTATAATCTGCACATCCTCCTTTTTCAATATTCTTACAGCCAAACAAGGTTCGTACAAGATATTATGTAGACAAATAATGCACTTGAATTTGACGTTTGCATACTACATGAAGCTGGTCCATGTAAAGGAAAAAAAGATCTTAATAGATACACAGCTCAAGAAAATTACCAGCTGGATCTTTAGGTCTATCTGTGGGTGGCCATCATATCTACTATAACATAGTTATAATCTTTCTGTACCAGCAGTATTGTGTCACATAGCCTACTAGGTTCTCTACATAACCTTGTTTATCTAAGAATGAAGTTCAAAATATGCACGATCATCTTTAAATTCTTCTGAATTAGATTAAACAAGGAGATCACGTGCTAGACATAAAACTGAAAGAACAGTCAATATGTAAAGATATATTCGCACAACTGCTGAACCTTTAAAGGGCTAGTATTTTAAGATGCCTTTTGCCCTTAGGAAAGTAGTATAATAATACCTTATATTAATGATTAGTCATACACTAAGTGTCCATCACGCGTTCTGCCAATATATTGGCTTTCCAGCCTGCATTGAAATTGCTCGTCAGTGTTAAAAATTACGAATTCTAAAAAACTTATTTTTTCAAATGCAGATATCCATTTTCTAGGTATTTTTCGATTCTAATTCCGAATTTTATATCAAAATTATAAGAAATCCAAAGGCAGTTCCGAAAATGGGATAAAAACTTTATTTTTTGTTAGAAAATTGAATAATTTAAAGTGTGTTAGTGAAGATGTATGTTTTCAATGTATTTTTCGTCACTGACTTTAAATTTGGTGGTAAAAATATTATAAACCACAAAATAACCCCTAAACCGGGGTAAAACTACCCTTTTTGTAATAAAATCAAATGATTTTAAGAGTATGAGTAAAGATGTATGTTTTCAATAAATTTTCGGATGCTGACTTCGAATTTTCTAGCAGAAATATAATAAACACAATATCAACCCCTAGAATAAAGTTAAAACTACCCTTTTCGTTAGAAAATCAAATAATTTTTAATGTACTAGTATAGATATATATTTTCAATGTTTCTTTATGCTAACTTTGAATTCTATGGCGAAAATATTATGAGCCCTAAAACAATCTTTAATATGGGGTAAAACAACCCTTTTTGTTAGAAAATCAAATGATCTTTAATGTAGTAGTGCAGATATTCGTTTTCTACGTATATTTCGATGCTGATTCTAAATTTTATGTCAAAATTACAAGGAATCCAAAAGCAACCCCTTAAATAGGGTAAAAGCTACCCTTTTTTTTCGGAAAATGAGATAATTTCAAATGTTTTAGTAAAGATATATGTTTTCGATGTTTCGTTTATGCTGACTTTGAATTCAGTGGCAAAAATATTCATAAACCCTGAAGCAACCCCTAAAATATGATAAAAACTACCGTTTTTGTTAGAAAAGCAAATGATTCTAAATGTATTAGTAAAGATTTATGTTTTTAATAAGTTTTTTGACGCGGACTTCGAACTTTGTAGTGAAAATATAGTGAACGATACAACAATCCCTAGAATGGGGTTGAAACTATCCTTTTCGTTAGAAAATCAAATAATTTTTGAAGTATTAGTAAAAATTCATGTTTTCAACGTACTTTTTGACGCTGACTTTGAATTTTGTGGCGAAAATATAATGAACACTTTAACAACTGCTGGAATAAAGTTAAAACTAACCTTTTTGTTGTAAAATCAAATGATTTTCAATGTGTCCGTTAAGATACATGTTTTTAATGTTTTTTTATGCCAACTTTGAGTTCAGTGCCGAAATAATTATAAACCCTAAAACAACCCCTAAAATAGGTTTAAAACGACCCGTCTTGTTATCTTTAATGATTTAGTAAGGATATATGTTTTGAATGTTTTTTTCGAGGCTTACTTCAAATTTGGTGGCGAAAATGTTATAAGCCCTAAAGTAAACTCTATAATGGGGTTAAAACAACTCTTTTTGTTTAAAAACTAAATGACTTTGTATGTACTAGTGGAGACATATGCTTAATATGTATTCCAAATTATTCTTCATTATATCTTTTTACATGTTCATGCAATCAAAACGATATTTTTTAAAAAAAGCTTACGCTAAAAATAAGGGAGGGGGTTAGAGAGGTTGGAGGTGTCGAGGGATAGTGAACTATTCCATACTACATTTATAATAATGTTTAAAATTTTTTATAATAAAAATTTATGTTTAATTATTTCTTTACTTAAATAAACTAAAGTAGTATTAAAAAAAGTTTATAATAGAAAGTTATGGGATAAGGGGTAAATTTAAACAGTTAGAAAGTGGTAAATTTACATAATATTATATTAAAATATGTAAAAATATCAAAAACATAAATAACTTTAACAAAAATTAAAAACTGAAGAATTTTATATTATGTGCCAATATATTCGTTTTTCAGCCCTCTTAACGTAAACTCGTAAAAGCTTAAGAGAGACTGATAAGTGCTTTAAACATTATTATCTAGATCTTATAAAACAACTTATCTGTCATTAGTACCAGTAGTATCTCACTATCGTTAATCAGCTTATCTAATCACCAGAAGCAGTAAATATACTAAACTATTAATCAACCATGGTCATCAAATCTCTTGTCTACAGCTGGATAACCATGTATGAAACTTAGCTTACCATCACCACTGATCAAGTAATTTAGTTAGAGTCTGCTTTATTTACGAGGCTCACTAAGCTCCTGAACATCTCTAGAGCACAAACATTCTTTACAATCCGCCGTTCAATGGAATCATGTTGCACACTTATCAGATCATAAGGGCTGTTCTCATGTTTCTAACTCACTGACCTTTAATGAGAAGCCAGAAACTTTACCTTATTAATAAAAGTCTACGAGCCCTTAAACATATACCGGTAACGCGTTTTTTTTCTATGAGAGTCTTGAGATGTGCTCAAACGTCTTAAAACACGTTGATATCATAAGCAGACTTAAGATTATCTAGCAGATCCACTACTAGACACCACTATCTTTATTAACGTGGTAATGCAAGCGCACATAAAAACAGCTGACTCATCTTGTGGTGCAAACATTTCCAACGTAGAATAAGTGTGACCAACAACCAAAACTTTCTTCACAGAGGCAAAGCTACTCTAATTTCTTTCATAGGCATGGTCCAAACTACCAAGTTTTCATTTCAATATTATAATTTCCTTATTTTTCTCTCTGTCTCTTCCTTTTTATAATTAGTAAGTATACGTAATTATCACAAATTTCATAAATATATTGCGAAAACGATTGAGTGTTATTATTTTTTGAGTCTTTTATAATATATTAAATGAGTACAACAAATTGTAATGCTGTAATTTCTGAGCTTTTTGAACTAGGTTTTAACCCATCTATGTTACTTGACCATATGTCTTGGTGTTAGGTATTGTCTTATGTTTCATTAACTTCCTAACTAAGTAAAAAAACTAAAAAATATGTTTAATCATATCGGTTAATTCTTATTTTGGGCTGAACTGCTTGATAAAATTGATTCTGAGTACCTTTTATTAATGATTCTCGGATCTTTTATCAATTATCTGATAAACAGCATAAATTTAAACAAATTTGCTTGACTATGATGAACCTGACGCCCTGCCGTGGTATTAGTATACATATTTTTGACAGTGTCATCTAGGTGACTTGATGTGTGTAGATCTTTAACTGACATTTCAGTATATTTATTATACTAAATTTATTAAGAACCTGCAGCATTCTTATATGAATTGGGCCTTGCTTAAATTTGTAATGCGGTAGATTGATGCGTCACAAAATCTCCCATACGTCACAAGCAGTGCAGAGAATTTTTTCTGAAACTAAGCCAAGGTACGCTCTAACAAGTTAGATCTGTGCGTACTTATGGGCTGTGTTTATGCCTTCAGAAGCACAGATGGTGTGTGACAGTCGTATTAACCTTTCGCCATCTTAATCGGTGACTATCTGCCACGGAATAGAAAAAGTTACTGCTCAGCACTATATTCTAACGTGAATTGACAC